AGAGATAATATAGAAATGAAAGAAATGCTCTAGCAGCATTTCCAAATAAGAAGCCTTAACCAAGGTTATAATCTTAAGTCTACCCTCAGAAGATGAATCTTTGGAGAGGTTCCATCAGGCCATTGCAAAATGTCAGTTTGTAGTCCCTGGTTTTGAAAAGGAGGGATGGAACAAATCTGGCTGTACGCTTCACACAGATAATCTTGGATGCATCTAAGAGCGTGGCTATGTGGCATCAGATGATTTCAAAGGGATATTAGTTAAATTGCTCCATGAAACTCTGCATGATGGTGCAGAAAAATTGGTTACCAACTTAAATCATCAACATTAGTGGGAAAACTTTTAAAAGACAGCCAGGGTTATTCTCAGGTCATATGTGGCCTGTCGACAATGTAATCCTGGAAAAAAGAGAAAGATGGGGGACGGCCGGGATCTAAAGCCTCACAGGCCTGTGAACACCGGTAGGTGGATTTTTCCCCTGCATTTGTTCATCCTCTCTATGGAATCTGAATTTGTTTCTGTTTTTCTATGCTTATTTTCTAGATGAGTTGAAGCATTTCCTTGCTGAAAAGCTACAGTCCTTATGGTTGCTAAAGAGCTGCCTGAGTTTGTGTTTCCAGCCTGGGGTGCACCAAGTTTTACATCAAATAAGCGAGTCCCACCAGAAAGAGAAAGAAAAACACCATATGATATCACTTATATGTGGAATCTTAAAAAAAAAAAAAGAAGAAGACAAACGAACTTATTTACAAAACAGAAACAGACTCACAGACATAGAAAACAAACTTATAGTTACCAGGGCGGAGAAGGGATGGGAAGAGATAAATTGGGAGTTCAAGATTTGCAGACACTAACTAATACATATATAAAATTGATAAACAACAAGTTTATACTGTATGGCACAGGGAACTATATTCAATATCTTGTAGTAACTTATGGTGAAAAAGAATATGAAAATGAGTATATGTATGTTCATGTATGACTGAAGCATGATGCTGTACACCAGAAATTGATACAATGTTGTAAACTGCACTTCAATTAAAAAAGATATATATCAAAAAAAAAAAAAAAGAAAGAACTGTGCTCCCTGACTGATAGTCCCACTTGGGGACCTCAATAATTATAAACAATACTTTCTTTCCAGGGGCACCATGTGTACGTCCTGTGTGGAAACTGGGCATTAACTCTCTCCCCAAAACATGTTGACTTCACATGTGGTCATAAGAGACCTTCAAGTATTTAAAGAAATATCACTAGTAGATCACAGAGCCCTGAGACCAGAACAGAGATCTCTCCAAAATGAGGCTTGGTTACTCTGGGAAGCTTTTCAGAAAGATAACTGACTTACTGTTGATGGGCACCCTGTGGGTGGTTTTCCCTGTGATGCAGCTCATCCAGTGAGGAAAGATGATTTAAAATTTGTCCTTGGCTTTAGCTGAGGTGATCAGTGATAATGCTTTGGTCCTGGAAGGCATTCAGTTCATCTTCAGTTCCCTGAGGTGTCATGGGTGATGGACTTGCCCTGGATGTCTTCCTTGTAGGCCAGGGCAGAGTCTGTTCAATCTCTGACGCATCCCACTGTACCTGCATTAATACCACAGGCCAAGTGGAAAAGTCAATAGGGAAACTAAGGGAGAAAGGCATCTGGCTGTCTGGCAGATGGCTCCTGGAATGTGTCCAGCAAGGCGTGTTCAGGATCCCGGGGCGGGAGGGGGGGGATGGCTGTGGTCAGTACTCCAGGCTGGCCTCATCCTGCTGCACGGAGAGTGCTACTGATTGTAGCCTTAATTAAATGTTGCACGAGACAGATGGAACAGATTCAGTCCCAGCCTCTGCAAATCAGATGAGTGGGAGTGGCCAACAGTGGTATGCTCATGGGAAATCTGCCCATGGGTCTTTCTTGTCTCCTCATATCTTGGGAGCCGAGCCCTGGATAGTGTTTACTCAAAACTATCCTTTCAGGGATGGTTGTTGAACAGTGAACACTCTTGGAAGACAGAGATAGTGTTTCATCTGGAGCAAAGGG